CGGCCCAGGCGCCGCACCAGTGCGGGCACTGCCACAAGAGCTTCAGCTCCCGCAAGAACTACACCAAGCACATGTTCATCCACTCAGGTGAGCGCGGCGACACGGCTGGGAACCGCGGTGACACGGCTGGGCACCGCGGGGACACGGCTGGGCACCGCGGGGACACGGCTGGGTACCGCGGGGACACGGCTGGGAACCGCGGGGACACACCTGGGCACCATGGTGACATGGCTGGGCACCGCGGGGACACGGCTGGGCACCGTGGGGACACGGCTGGGAACCACGGGGACACACCTGGGCACCGCAGGGACACACCTGGGCACCACGGTGACACACCTGGGTACCAAGGTGACACTATTGATCCCTGTTGGCCATTGTTGATCCCTGTTGGCCTCTATTGATCCGTGTTCGCCATTATTGATCCCCGTTGGCCTCTATTGATCCCTGTTGGCCCACCTGGGTCAGTGTTGACCTATGCCGGTCCATCTTGGCACACGTTGACCCACATTGGCCGACGTTGACCTGTGCTGACCCATGGTGATCCACACTGACCCTGCTGGCCTGTTCCAATCCGTGTTGACCCACATCGACCCATGTTGGCCCGTGTTGACCCACACTGACCCATGTTGGCCCGTGTTGAGCCACACTGACCCATGTTGGCCCGTGTTCACCCACATTGACCCATTTTGACCCATATTGACCCACCCTGCCCAGTACCAGCCCACACTGACCCACCCTGCCCAGTACCAACCCACACTGACCAGTACCAACCCACACTGACCTTTACCATCCCACCCTGCCCAGTACCAGCCCACACTGACCAGTACCAACCCACACTGACCTTTACCATCCCACCCTGCCCAGTACCATCCCACCCTGCCCAGTACCAGCCCACACTGACCAGTACCAACCCAAAATGACCAGTACCAACCCACACTGACCAGTGCCAACCCACACCAACCAACACTGACCAGTGCCAACCAACCCTGCCCAGTACCATCCCACCCTGCCCAGTACCAAGCCACACTGACCAGTACCAACCCAAACTGACCAGTACCACCCACACTGCCCCACACTGACCAGTACCAACCCACACTGACCAGTACCATCCCACCCTGCTCAGTACCAACCCACACTGACCAGTACTAGCCCACACTGACCAGTACCAGCCCACACCAACCCACCCTGCCCAGTACCAGCCCACACTGACCCACACTGCCCAGTACCAACCCACCCTGCCCAGTACCAACCCACACCAACCCACACTGACCAGTACCAACCCACACTGACCTTTACCAACCCACACTTCCCAGTACCAGCCCACCCTGCCCAGTACCATCCCACCCTGCCCAGTACCATCCCACCCTGCCCAGTCCCAGCCCCGCTGCCCAGTACCATCCCACCCTGCCCAGTACCAGCCCACCCTGCCCAGTACCAGCCCACCCTGCCCAGTACCATCCCACCCTGCCCAGTACCATCCCTCCCTGCCCAGTACCAACCCACACTGACCAGTACCATCCCACCCTGCCCAGTCCCAGCCCCGCTGCCCCGCGGCGGCTCCATGTGTCCCGTTTCCGTCCCCGCAGGCCAGAAGCCCCACCAGTGCTCGGTCTGCTGGCGCTCCTTCTCGCTCCGCGACT